TTAATCAGTTTTAAAAATAATTTATTTAAAAAATACTTCCTTATGGAGTTCCCGAGTTTGATGATAGCTCATACATAGATATAAATTTGATTTTATCTAGTCGATTACCAGACATCCTAAAGATTGTTTTAAACTCACAGACCCAAATTAAATATGTGTATCAAAGTAAATCATGACTTTTATATAAAATAGAATATGATGCTTTAGTGAACATTAATGTTTCTGTATGTCAAGAAAAAGTGAATTTTCAAATGGAAATTACATATCTTGATGATAATTATTATTTTACAATTTATAAAGATGGATCAAAATCTGAAGACTACACAACTTAAGCATTTTATGATTGGCAAAAGAAAATATCTAAAACTTTTAAATTTCACTATTTACGCTCTATTTTTACAGCTGAATGTTATGCAATCTACTTAGCTATATTGTACATACAAAACATTGAGAATTCACGGTTTCTAATTGTAACTGATTCAAAAAGTGTTATATTAGCTATTGAAACTAACAAAATGGATTACAAGAAAAATTACATTATATACAGTATAAGATTTTTGTGGGTTCCTACACACTCTGGGATAACTGGGAACGAGGAAGCAGACATTGCTACTGGAGATGTATCCTCATCATCATGTTCAGATCACTCCTCAATGCTGGAAATACCATTTACAGATATATATGCCTTGTTATGCAAGAACTTCAAATCCTTGTGGAAGTCATACTGGGAAGAAATAAGTTAGTCCAAAGGAATTTGTTATTATGAAATACAAAAAAGCCCCCCAGTCACTCCTTGGTACAACAAAAAGGGGATTGATAATAGAAAATTCATTACAACTGTAAACCGAATGAGATCTAGACATAGCAGAGTAGCCGTCCACCTTCATCGTTTGGAAATGAAAGAAAATGCAAACTGTGAATATTGTGGTGACACGAATGGAGGCCTAAAACATCTGGTTTTTCAATGTTGTCAATTTGGTTTGAGTAAATGACTCCTCATTAATTCCATTCAAGATATTAACAATGATAAAGTTCCTGATAATATTCAAAGTCTATTAGCTGATGAAAAATTCTTCCGACCATTATATTCCTTTATTTCTGGTGTTCAAGATATATAAAAAAAGAAAACGAATCAATAGAGTAAAAGTGAATAAGCTTTTTGTGATTTGTGAATCAGTGTGAAAGCGAATTTTTGATGTTTCGTAATTTTTAAAGATAATAATTGAACATTATAACTTCAGGCTCAGAAGGGCTAGAACCCAGAGCCGTAAAGCCAGTTAATATAAAAAAATCTAACGTATAGTCCCGTAGACAGAGAAACCTATAGACTAATGATCAGTGTGGCCTCGAGTGAGAAAGGACGATAACGTAGTTTTAGGTTATACAATAATGTTTATGACTTTTAAACATATTTAGATAAACATTTTAACTGTTCTAAGAACTGAACTGAACAAGATTCACCAATATTAAGCTCACAAAACACTTTTTTTTCACTTCAACCAACTTCTAAACTCCTTAGATCGCTACGAACTGTCATAGTTGTTTAGCAAAGTGTAGTTTGCTAAACATAAAAAACCGGCACGGAGAAAGAGACAAACAATCACACCGCTCTGTCTCATTTCTATGCAAGACGTATGCATAAATCTATCTTTTTCGTGTGCGAATGCGAAAGAAGGCGTCAATTTGTGTATAGGTTTCTCTGTCTACGTATAGTCCGTAGACCATAGACAGAGAAACCTATAGACTAATGATTAGCGTGGCCTTGAGTGAGAAAGGACGATTACGTAGTTTTAGGTTACACAATAATCTTTATGACTTTTAAACATATTTAGATAAAAATTTTAATTGTTTTAAGAACTGAACTGTACAAGATTAACCAACTTTTGAATTCCTTAGATCGCTACGAACTGTCAAAGTTGTTTAGCAAGGTGTAGTTTGCTAAACAAAAAAACCGGCACGGAGAAAGGGACAAACAATCACTCCGCTCTGTCTCATTTCTATGCAAGACGTATGCATAAATCTATCTTTTTCGTGTGCGAATGCGAAAGAAGGCGTCAATTTGTGTATAGGTTTCTCTGTCTACGTATAGCCCGTAGACCATAGACAGAGAAACCTATAGACTAATGATTAGCGTGGCCTTGAGTGAGAAAGGACGATTACGTAGTTTTAGGTTACACAATAATCTTTATGACTTTTAAACATATTTAGATAAAAATTTTAATTGTTTTAAGAACTGAACTGAACAAGATTAACCAACTTTTGAATTCCTTAGATCGCTACGAACTGTCAAAGTTGTTTAGCAAGGTGTAGTTTGCTAAACAAAAAAGCCGGCACGGAGAAAGGGACAAACAATCACTCCGCTCTGTCTCATTTCTATGCAAGACGTATGCATAAATCTATCTTTTTCGTGTGCAAATGCGAAAGAAGGCGTCAATTTGTCTATAGGTTTCTCTGACTACTGCGTAGACCAAGAAAAATGCTACTGTCTACGGTATAGTCGTATAACATAGACAGAAATACCTAATCGAACCTAATTCTCTGTCTACGTAACATATATTTATCTATGATATTTATTTATCTATGGTCGTCGACGGTCGACGTCATCGCCGGCGGACATATTTGCCGTGTATCCGACATTTTGACATTTATTTCCCGGCCTGCTTGCCATTTTTCATTCATAGAGGAATTTATCTACTTTTGAGCTGTATCATCATGGATGAAGAATACGACGCAATCGTCTTGGGCACAGGGCTCAAAGAATGCATTCTTAGTGGAATGCTTTCTGTGTCCGGCAAAAAGGTATTACACATTGATCGGAATAAGTATTACGGTGGTGAATCTGCGTCAATTACTCCCTTAGAAGAATTATTCGCAAAGTTCAATGCACCGGCTCCGGATGAAACATATGGCCGAGGTCGTGACTGGAACGTGGACTTGATCCCCAAGTTTTTGATGGCTAATGGCCTTTTAGTGAAATTACTTATCCATACGGGCGTAACCCGTTATTTGGAATTTAAGTCTGTGGAGGGCAGTTATGTTTACAAAGGTGGGAAAATTTCAAAAGTGCCTGTGGATCAAAAGGAAGCTTTGGCATCTGACCTAATGGGCATGTTTGAAAAGAGACGTTTTCGCAACTTCCTTGTTTATGTACAAGATTTCCAAGAAGAAGACTGCAAAACCTGGAAAGATTTCGATCCTAGCACAGCTAATATGCAGTCACTATATGATAAATTTGGGCTTGACAAAAATACCCAGGATTTTACTGGTCATGCATTAGCACTTTACCTTGATGACAGCTATTTGCAGCAACCGGCTATTCAGACAATTCGTCGTATTAAGCTGTATTCCGACTCGCTTGCCCGGTATGGTAAGTCTCCATACTTGTACCCTATGTATGGACTTGGTGAGTTGCCTCAAGGTTTTGCACGCCTTTCAGCAATCTATGGTGGTACTTATATGTTAGACAAGCCTATTGATGAGATAGTCCTTGGAGAGGGTGGTAAAGTGGTAGGTGTGCGCTCAGGAAATGAGATAGCTAAATGTAAGCAAGTGTATTGTGACCCCAGCTATGTACCTGATAGAGTTCGTAAGAAGGGTCAAGTTATTCGTTGCATTTGCCTCTTAGATCACCCTATTGCTAATACAAAAGATGCATTATCTACTCAGATAATAATTCCTCAAAAGCAAGTGGGCAGGAATTCTGATATTTATGTGTCCCTGGTGTCATACACTCATCAAGTTGCTGCTAAAGGGTGGTTTATTGCAATGGTGTCTACTACTGTGGAAACTAAGGACCCTGAGTCAGAGATCAAACCTGGTTTGGACTTGTTGGGTCCCATTCGACAGAAGTTTGTTTCTGTGTCTGATTATTTTGAGCCTACTGATGATGGCAGCCAAAGTCAAATTTTCATATCGGAATCCTACGATGCAACTACACACTTTGAGACCACTTGTTTAGATGTGCTCAAAATCTATAAGCGGGGCACTGATGAAGACTTTGATTTCTCTAAAGTGAAGGTAGAGTTGGGAGAAGAAGAGCAGTGAACACTGTTCCTTATGTATATTGCTTGTTAATTTAATATTTGTTTATATCTGGCTATAATATACTGTTCTTTAGGGTTTTTGGGCAAATACAGTATAGAAGATGTATGTATAGAACATCACTTTTGTTGCCATGAAGTGCAGCAATAATTTTATTCCTACCAAAACATATTTAAATATTACTTATAGGATTTTATTCTCCATTTAAGATTGCTTTTATAATTTAAGATAATCAAGGCGTAAAATGATCTGCACAAGTGGTAGATAGATCAAAAAGCATTCCATTTTGGTACATCATTTGAATCTGCATCCATATCATACTCATAATTTATGTCAACTTATTGAATGCTCACTTTACAACTAAATGTTCTGTGTAAGGTCATAATAAAGTTACATTATAATATATCATGTTTTTTATTTAACTACTTGTTGTTAAACAAGTTTTATTTAAAACTAAATCAATTGACACAACTTAATGTTTTTTGAACAATTTATGGCATAATGAATATGTTTTGACCTCTATAAATAAAGCTAAACCTAAGCTACAACTGCAAATATATTTTTCTTTTAATATTGACTTACAAATATTTTCTGTATTTTTACACAATATTTCTCCACTATATAAGGACTAATAATTTGTAAATAAAAGTTAATTTTTGCCATATAATTTAGCCTATGATTAGACACTCAAATATACACCTCACATTTTAAGAGTCAAATTGCTTTAGATTACAGGTCTCAATGGGACAACATATACGTTATGTATAAAGTATAAGTCAAACCTGTACTGAGTCAACAACTGATCCCTATTGCAGTAATGTACGATCACCTGTTTGACTGTGAATGTCGGGAGATCCCTATTGAGTTTGTGTCTGATTTCCCAAAGAGAAATGCGCAGAGGTTGTAAGCGCATTGCAGATTAATCCTCAAGGCTGGAGTGCCTTAAGTAGAAATATTAGTCATGGTGATAGGTCTGAGTGGTTGTGCATACACAAAATCCAGCCGAGCGACGACATGTCGGACAAGTCGTCGCGCGAAATGACGCCCGCGGCTGTGCCCGCGCCTGCCCCGCACGCCGCCCCGCCGCAGCCTGCGAATCGCGCACCTGCTGCCCTTCCACAACCTGTGCTCGCACGCCGGCCGCGCTCACAGCTCTAGGACAAAAGGCACACAAAGAGGAGATGAAGGGAGGGAGGATGCTGATACGGAAGCTGACAGCAGAACAACGCGCAATGAGGTACCGCAAGACTCCACACAACCCATCTTGGCAGCCACGTCTAGCCACGGCTAGACCGGGCTTGCCAAGTATACAGAATGATGTTTGGGAAGTGTCGATTATGATCAAACAGCGCAGAATGGTCCCAGAAATGTATATAAGGGGGCAGGTGAGTCGCAATTTCAACATGCAGCGCATGATGGGTATCAACACGGGCATTACGCAGCCCGCTGCTGCTGCCACACGGTGACAAACAGTACAAGTCAGTTAATAAAGTTAACTTCCAATATTCAATGCAGTTAACTTCCGGCCACACGCCGCTGCCCAGGAATCGGGAAAGCATGCTCACGTGCGATGAGGAAGCTGCCACCAGACATTACATCTGACAAAATAGAGATAGAGAGCGACTGCTTTACTACATTGAGGAGACCAATGAGGGCAGAGGTTTTATAAAGGAACTGTGCTACTCAGCAGACAGTAAACTTGTAGGCTTGCCTTTTGCACGCGGCATGTGTCTCTTAGCACTGAATTAAAACTGCAGCGAACTGTCCCACTGCGTGCAAGTCACGCGGCCCTTCCCCATGGTCGACGTGAGACAAATAAAAAACATGAAACCGCTTTGAGGGCATTTAGGTAAATTAAGTTCTGATCTGGTAAAATTATCAATTTTTATGAAGAACTAGCTGTTCCCTGCAACTTTTCACACATGTCATTAAGTTATGCTTTTTTTGTGCTGAACCTTAATTCGTTTTTTAAAATAAAAGTAGCCTAAGTTACTCCTTATAACATCAGCTATCTGCCAAAAAAGTCCTGTCGAAATCAGTCCAGCCATTTCCGAGATTAGCCAGAACAAATAGACCGACACAGACAAAAATTTAAAAAATTGTGTTTTTGTTATGTGTCATATTATATTCTTTTATATGCATATAGTAAAAAGCTGTTACAAATTTTATAGAGAAATTTTCTATATATATATAGACATTACAGTCACTTCTATTTTAGTTATTTGTAAAGATATTCTATAACTTATAATTCTAGGTTTAATAAAAAAAAACTGTTAAGACAATGTGATTTATTTGTGTAGTTAGAGGTTAACTGAGTATTTTAATGCAGTATAGAAAATCATTTCGACAGCCAATATATATTTTGTTATCAAAAACAACTGGCGATGAAAATGTATCATTTGGAAATTGATACTCTGATAATATAGTTCCACAATCGGAATTTATTACACACAATTTCCCATTAGTTGATACTGCAATAAGCAATCTATCATGTAGGCAGCAAGGTGTTGCATATACTGGTGAAGTTACTTCAGTTCTCCATTGTAAAGAAGGGTGAAAATTTTTAACAGTAATACTGTAAACTTTATTATCGTGACATCCAAATACAAACTGCCATTTTAAAGCTTCCAAATTTCTTATATATAGTGAAGAAAAGATATTTCCTTTAGCACCTTGATATTTCCAAACCTGTAATGGAAATTTTTTATCTTATGTAAGTACCTTTAACAATACTGAAGCTTTATGAGAAAAAAACTTATATTTCAGTTTTAATAATAATTATTGTAGTATTTAAGAAGGATTTGGTTCAGGGAGTACATCTTATAAATACGAGTAACAAATGTGTATTTTTTTACAGGATAGGGTGACAAACGAGCACACAGTCCACCTGATGGTAAGTGGTTGCTGTGGCCCATAGATATCTACATCGATTACGAATCAAAATGCAGATGCGTTGTCACCGGAGAGGACTGAGATGGAATGCCTTGTTTCCTGTAAAAAGGGTCTCCGGTTCTCTACACTCACCATATGAAACACGGCAGCATTAAACCACTATTTTACGCTGGCACTCTGCGAGATCGTGGTCCTTCCCCGGTCGAGCCCATTCGAGCTACAACTATACTACCAATATAACTGCAGCATGGCTCTACCACTTACAACGTACAATACATGTATGTGTATGCAAAATTCCTACGTAAAAAATTGGTCAATAATGCCTTTGCAAATCTACAGAATCGCTATTCTTAACAATGACATCTTGGCACCTTTTCGCCGAATTCAAAAAAAGAGATTTACAATTTGATAACATTGAGAATGTGTTCTCTGTAATCCCACCATACACATATTTTTTTAGAATGTGTGTTTTTTTTGAGACTGATGAACTCTGTTCACCAGCTCAAAAATACAAATTTCCGACATTTTATATTCATCACATGTTATTGATCTTTCCAAAAAATCTCCTAACCCAACCTGTCCGAGTCGGGATGCCCTAAGTCCCGAGCTTGCATCACTCGATCTTGCACTCAATAAAAAACAAAATAAAAAATTAATAAAAAAAAATTTAAATTTTTTTCCGAGTCGGGATGCCCTAAGTCCCGAGCTCGCTTCGCTCGATCTTACATTTAATAAAACCAAAATAAAAAATTAATAAACAAACATTTTTCAATGTTTCTTTTTGTTAATCGTTCGTTTTTTTTTTGTATAGATTATGAAAAAAATATAACAACCTCATTTGATTACTTTAAGAGGGCCCTTCCTGGCCCATCTATCGTCAACGCGAAAAAGTTGAAAAGCTTGTTGTTTCATCCAGCGCAATGTTAGAAAAAGAGGCAAAGCGAAAAGAGAGAGAGATAGCGCCTGAGCGCTCGGTTAGCATTCGGTAACTTTTGCCGCTCACTCGCGGGCGGTAGACCGCTATCCGCTAGTAAGCCATTCATGACAATAATATTGAATCGCACGCGCGCGTCTCGCAAATATGTCCTCGCGTGCGCATAGTCATAGTTTTACATTTAGTACCGTATTACTTTATTATATTACATGCTTTGTCTAGTACGGACGTAACGCTTGGCCTCGGAGATTTATTTGTGTAGTATTTATACCAATCTATGTACCTACCGTGCGTGCGTTATTTTTGACGATATGGAAATTATTTATAACATACATTAGCTTTTTCTTATTTCATATACACAAGTACCTCATGGACGAACAAAGAAAGTCAGACAGATTTTCGCTAGTAAAAAACTGTAAACACATAAAGCTAGACATTTCTAGTATACGATCGTCTCGCTTTGTATCAATTTCCCGTACAATGAGAGATCCGTATAACCTGGTTTTTTAAAATGGTCGTCGTACGTACAAGCCCTGACACATTCACACATTGGTCCATTATCATTACACGCGCAAACGTCAATACCCACACATAGACCAGACTCAGTTTTGTTTTAGCAGGGAGTTCCGTTCGACTTTTTTGTTCGTCCATCATATACGTAAATACAGCACGAAAAAGTAAAGGTAAATGATTTATGATTAAAACTACTTTTCCGGATTTTATCGCGTTTATTTTTACTTTTTATTTACTTTTATTTTTAATTCCCGAAGAACATATAGCTGATGTGAAGCATCAACGTTCCGGGAAGTCTGCAGTTTGTGATCATATCCTAGACGGACCCAACCATTACATCAGATTTGATAGACCACAAATCCTCGCGAAAGAACACCGATTCCTACCAAGGATGATACGTGAGGCTATTGAAATTAAAAAAAAACATCCTAATTTCAATAGAGAAGGAGGCTGGGTACTACCACCTGCTTGGGATCCTATAATCAATAAAATTAAAACTAAACCCAAGCATACCACTGCAAGACCTCAGGACATAGTCAGTTAATTTTGCATAGATCGGACCATAAACAATAATTAAAAAAGCTGAAGGTACTCCGGGTTTAACAATGACATCGGGACGTCAGTCATCTCAGTCCCCCGTGACCATGGGTGCTGGAAAGCGCCCGAAACGTCGGGAATTAAAAATAAAAGTAAATAAAAAGTAAAAATAAACGCGATAAAATCCGTAAAAGTAGTTTTAATCATGTATAGTGTTCGCGTAAATATAAGAAATCATTATGTAAATGATTTATTCTGCTTAGGACTAGTAGTAGGAGCAGAATAAATCTTTATCTATTCAGTTTATCTGTATTAGTATTGTATTAGAGGATGCGGAAATTAGGTAACGTACCTAATTATTTAACATGTACGTACCGTATGTAAATGACTACAAATGTGTGTTTGTGTAGATACTAATTTGTACCGTAGTACAGGCGGTTGATCAAATAAAGTAGTCTAAATACAGTTGGGTAAATATAAATTTTTATTCTAAAAAACTTTGTCACATTTTATAAACAATACATAAAACAACCCAGTTGTCGAGAAATTTCCGTTTTCCGAACACAAACAGTTTTTAGACTGTCAGATGTGATTGAAAATTTAGAAAAAAAATTAATTATTATCATCTAATACAGTCAATCATCGAGTCTATCTCTCATTGACAGTTTGGGTGGGAAACGTGAGTCAATAATTTCTGTTCACAACACTAAACCTTTCGCAAGCCAAAGCAGTGCCCGATATAAAAAAAACGACCGTCGTAGTAGGTAAAACAGAATTCACTAAAATTTAAATACAACAGCACATTCGCGTACGCGCAGTCAACAAATTCTATACCTGCTAACAACTCCGAGAGGCCCGAGAGCCGAGCGTGATTCAACTCTCCCGCCTCAGCCCGCCCCGACCCCGCACGACTCGTCCCCCCGCATACCTCACCGCCACTTGACTAACAAGCAAGTGAGAACGCGATAACATTGAACGAAAAATAGTGTGCGGATATTTCATAAAACTTGTTCCAGGAAATACGTGTTTTTCAGTAAGCCTTACAAGTTTGTGAAATAAATGTTTGTCATTTAGAAACTCGATTACATTTGCGAGCTTAAAATTATTTTCATTGGATAAAACTATTTACGGATTTTTTTCGCGTTTAATTACTTTAATTTATTTTTATTATTATCCCGACGTTTCGGGTGCTTTACAGCGCCCATGGTCACGGGGGGGACTGAGATGTTTGACGTCCCAATGTCATAGTTAGTCCGGCTACCTTCAGTTTTTTAATATTAATTTTTGGTCCGATTTACGCAAAACGAGCTTATAGTATCATGAAGTCTTGCAGTGGTATGCTTGGGTTTGGGTTTAATTTTGTTAATTATAGGATCCCAAGCAGATGGTAGCACCCAACCATCTTCTCTATTGAAATTTGGATGTTTTTTAATTTCAATAGCCTCGCGTATCATCCTTGGTAGGAATCGGTGTTCTTTTGCGAGAATTTGTGGTTTATCAAATCTAATGTAATGGTGGGGACGATCTTGAACATGTTCGCAGACTGCAGACTTCCCGGAGCGTCGGTGCTTCACATCAGCTATATGTTCCTTCACGCGGGTTTTTATAGATCTCTTTGTTTGACCTATGTAAGAGAGACCACATTCACAATCTAGCTTGTACACACCTGCATCTTGTAGAGGAATATTACATTTGATGGATGGAAAAAATTGACTAATCTTCTTCAGCGGCTTGTAGTATGTCTTAATGGACGCTCGCTTCAAGATGTAGCCAATCTTGTCCGTGACTCCTCTAACATATGGTAGTAGAGCAGGCACGCGCTCGACTGTGGCCGGCTTCACTCGTTCACTGTGACGTAGGCGCGGGACCCGAAGCTTGTTGTCTTGCAATACTTGCTTGACGTGCTGAAGCTCCGCGGCCAGATGTTTTCTGTCACAGATCCCTCGTACTTTCTGAAACAAAGATTTACCCACGGTAGCTAGCTGTGAAGGATGATGGTGAGATTCACCATTTAAATATCGGTTGGTATGGGTCTTTTTCCTATACACAGTGTGACCAATAGTGTTATCAGGATTTCGGATGACTAAAACATCTAGGAAAGCTAAAGAATTATTTGCCTCTAACTCCATTGTGAATTGTATTTTAGAGTTTATGGAGTTAAGGTGGTCTAAAAATGCAGTTACTTTGTCAGATGGTAAAATTGTGAAAGTGTCGTCTACGTACCGCTTGTAGAACCTTGGATTTACAGGAGCAGTAAGAAGGGCTTTCTCCTCAAAGTCTTCCATGAATATGTCGGCGACTATGGGAGACACAGGTGAGCCCATCGCCACACCATCTACTTGCTTGTAGAACTCCTCCTTCCACAATAGATAGCCAGATGTGAGGCAATGTTCAAGTAGTATTGCATATTCTTGAGGCATGTTATTTTCTTCTAGCTTCCTAGTTACAATTGAGATGCAGTCCACAATAGGTAGGCATGTAAATAGTGACTGAACATCAAAACTGACCATAGTTTCATTGTTAGCGAGATGTAGGTCTTTTATCTCACTCACAAAATGGTATGAATCCTTTGTGTGTGCTCTGGTATGTCCTCTTATAGTGGTGATAGTATTTTTGCTAAGTATTGTGCCAGCTTATAGGTTGGTGAATCGATCTGGCTCACTATGGGACGTAGTGGAGCGTTTGGTTTGTGTATCTTCGGTAACCCATACAACCTCGGTGGTTTGGCACATGATGGTATTAGCGAATTCACTACTACACTACAATTCACACACAAAGTAACTGCATTTTTAGACCACCTTAACTCCATAAACTCTAAAATACAATTCACAATGGAGTTAGAGGCAAATAATTCTTTAGCTTTCCTAGATGTTTTAGTCATCCGAAATCCTGATAACACTATTGGTCACACTGTGTATAGGAAAAAGACCCATACCAATCGATATTTAAATGGTGAATCTCACCATCATCCTTCACAGCTAGCTACCGTGGGTAAATCTTTGTTTCAGAAAGCACGAGGGATCTGTGACAGAAAACATCTGGCCGCGGAGCTTCAGCACGTCAAGCAAGTATTGCAAGACAACAAGCTTCGGGTCCCGCGCCTACGTCACAGTGAACGAGTGAAGCCGGCCACAGTCGAGCGCGTGCCTGCTCTACTACCATATGTTAGAGGAGTCACGGACAAGATTGGCTACATCTTGAAGCGAGCGTCCATTAAGACATACTACAAGCCGCTGAAGAAGATTAGTCAATTTTTACCATCCATCAAATGTAATATTCCTCTACAAGATGCAGGTGTGTACAAGCTAGATTGTGAATGTGGTCTCTCTTACATAGGTCAAACAAAGAGATCTATAAAAAACCCGCGTGAAGGAACATATAGCTGATGTGAAGCACCGACGCTCCGGGAAGTCTGCAGTCTGCGAACATGTTCAAGATCGTCCCCACCATTACATTAGATTTGATAAACCACAAATTCTCGCAAAAGAACACCGATTCCTACCAAGGATGATACGCGAGGCTATTGAAATTAAAAAACATCCAAATTTCAATAGAGAAGATGGTTGGGTGCTACCATCTGCTTGGGATCCTATAATTAACAAAATTAAACCCAAACCCAAGCATACCACTGCAAGACTTCATGATACTATAAGCTCGTTTTGCGTAAATCGGACCAAAAATTAATATTAAAAAACTGAAGGTAGCCGGACTAACTATGACATTGGGACGTCAAACATCTCAGTCCCCCCCCGTGACCATGGGCGCTGTAAAGCACCCGAAACGTCGGGATAATAATAAAAATAAATTAAAGTAATTAAACGCGAAAAAAATCCGTAAATAATAGTTTTATTCAATGTGTAGTGTTCGCGTAAATTTAAGAAATCATTATATTTTCATTGGTTTTACTATTTATGACTACATTATGAACGGCCAAAATTCAGGTAATTTTGCGCAAAAAAGCAGATTTTTGGAGGCTTATACTGAATTTGTTTCTCCAAGTTTTGATTCTTTGTTTTGATAGAAACCTAGCTATAGTGTACAAGACACCTATTAGTTCAAAAATTTCAAAGGAAGATCTATTACAATGCCATAATCACGTACGAGCGTTTGTATGAAAAGTAAGACGGGTTGGCCGCTCTTAAAACAAGTTATCAACAATTATACTTGATTGACTGCATTTTCATGAACATTTAAAGTCTTGAAACCAATATTTCATTTTTTTATATTTGTAATTATTTTCGTAAATCCGCCGTAATAGGTAGGGGAGCCTTTTTGAGGTAGCACGGGTCGTAGTGATATTTTTTTCTAGAGGTGATTTTTTCGCGAGTGGTAATGGGTTTGGTGCTGAGGTAATATGAAGATTTAAAAAAATCATCTAAATCGGATGATTTTTCGATTTTCTAGAGTCAAAAAACGAGGGGACCGCAATAGTATAAAATTATCAAAATCGGTTCACCTATAAAAAGTTCTGAGGTGACACATTAAAAAAATAGTACAGTTGAATCGAGAACTTCCTTCGTTTTTTGAAGTCGGTTGAAAATATACAAAGTCCACAGCTGAACATAGGCTTTTCCTACTGATTTGTATTGTCCACGCTTAGCCGCTGGGTGTTGCTGCTGCCCATTTCCGGTTTCATTTCGCTATGCCGCCTCTTACGACACCCACGGGATAACATGCAGTAGGTGATTCTCTTACGCAACCACTATACGGCGGCTAAAATTAATAATGCGGAAACTAGTACCTATCAAGAAAATAGTTGAATAAAAATTCTGAATAACGACACATTTTATTATTATTATTATTAATACATAATATACGAATTGCCTCGTTGGTCTAGTGGTTGTAGTAGTGCGACTGCTGATCATGAGGTCCTGGGTTCGAATCCCAGGTCGGGCCAAAAAATAATTATTGAGTTTTTCCGTCGAAAAATTCTCAGTAGTTGCCCGGAGTCAGGAAGTTTGCGGTGTCTCACCCCCGTGCCTCGGAAAGCACGTAAAGCCGTTGGTCCTGCGCCTGATCTATCTCCGGTCGGTTTACCGTCCCATCGGATTATGAGAGTGAGGGAATAGAGAGTGCACCTGTGCTTGCACATACACTTGAGCACTATAATCCTGTCCTGCGCCGATAGCTAGCCTCCGTTGAGGCAGGCCGCCGTGACCGGAATTCGGTCTGGAGGACATTATTATAATATACGAATTAATTATTATTGTTAACTTAATTAAGAGTGTGGTTTGCAATATGATGTTGTGACCAGGATTAAGAAAGGAATGCTTCGGTGGTTTGGTCATGTGGAAAGAATGAATGAGGAAAGAGTGACAAAGAAAATTTATGTTGCAGAAGTGAATGGCAGAGTCGGAAAGGGACGTCCTAGGCGAAAATTTATCGACCAAATTGGCGATTTATTGAAAACGGGCCAAATTAGGAGTACCCTTAACCGACGAGCATGTATGGATAGGTGTATGGATGTGAAGGAGGCGAGAGAGGTGTGTCAGGATCGTGCCAAATGGAAGTCTGTAGTCTCTGCCTACCCCTCTGGGTGACAGGTGTGAGTGTTTATGTTATGTTAACTTATCTTTTGTTACGTAGCGATTCAAGTTAATTCACTTTACCTTGATGCCTTTCTCAACAGATCGGCAATGTAATTCACCGCTGACCTCGGCAAAAACGACGTATTTATCATCGTCGTAGAGAGCCGGACTTGCAAAAACGGGGCTACTTAGCTTTCCGCGCCAAGCGACTTTTTTTGTCCTCGTGTCTAAAGCTGCGCAGACGCCGGACAGTGCACCGACCAATATGTAGTCATTTTTAGCGAGAACTAAGTCTGCCGATATCGCTTGCTTTGTTATTTGTATTGTATGAATGATATCTCCATTCTAAAAATAATCAAATTTTCAACAACATAAACATTACTTAGTTATACTATGTTTAAATTAAACTACTTTTTACGAATTTTATTGCGTACATATATTAACTTATTTAATATTCTAGACGTTTCGATACGCAGTACTATTTTATTCTGTGGTTTCGAGCACTTTACAGCACCCTTGATCACGGTCCCTCCCGTCACAGGAGGGACACCACAAAGAAGTTGGCTTGGAAATATAACCGCTGAGATAAATGAATAAGTGCACTAAATTGCTCACTAATTGCTCAATTCAAATCCGTATTTGCTCACACTATTAATGAATTATTTTATTAGTTATTAATAATACAAAATATTTTTTGCCAATTATACTTAAAACCAATGAACTTTTCTAAAAATTAATAAATACCATTAATTGCTCACGAAATGATTAATTAAAATTAGCATTTAATAACACTGTTAATTAATTATTTAATTAGTAATTAATAATAAAATGTACAAAAGTTTTTTTCCTTAACCGATCAGATTATTGAATTAGTGCAAAAAATTGCTCAATAATTGCTCATTTGAAATCTGCAATAGCTCACACTATTTATCAATTATTTTATTAGTTATTAATATAATGATTTCTTATATTTACGCGAACACTATACATGATTAAAACTACTTTTACGGATTTTATCGCGTTTATTTTTACTTTTTATTTACTTTTATTTTTAATTCCCGACGTTTCGGGCGCTTTCCAGCACCCATGGTCACGGGGGGACTGAGATGACTGACGTCCCGATGTCATTGTTAAACCTTGAGTACCTTCAGCTTTTTTAATTATTGTTTATGGTCCGATCTATGCAAAATTAACTGACTATGTCCTGAGGTCTTGCAGTGGTACGCTTGGGTTTAGTTTTAATTTTATTGATTATAGGATCCCAAGCAGGTGGTAGTACCCAGCCTCCTTCTCTATTGAAATTAGGATGTTTTTTAATTTCAATAGCCTCACGTATCATCCTTGGTAGGAATCGGTGTTCTTTCGCGAGGATTTGTGGTCTATCAAATCTGATGTAATGGTATAAATAAATAATCTTTGGGAAAGCCAAACGTCGGGAATTAAAAATAAAAGTAAATAAAAAGTAAAAATAAACGCGATAAAATCCGTAAAAGTAGTTATTAATAATTAAAAGTACAAAATTTTTATTGCCTTAAAACCAAAGAACTTTTCTAAAAATGAATAAGTACTCCTAATTGCTTACAAAATGCCTAACTGCAACCCGCAATTGCTCAAACTATATACTAATTATTTAATTAGTAATTAATAATTAAACGTACAAAATTTTTTTTTCCTTAACCGATCAGAATATTGAATAAGTGCACAAATTTGCACATTAATTGCTTATTTCAAATCTGCAATTGCTCACACTATTAATCAATTATTTTATTAGTTATTAATAATTAAAAATACAAAATTGTTATTGCCATAAAATCAAAGAACTTTTCTAGAAATGAATAAGTACACTTAATTGCTCACACTCACAAAACTCCTAATTAAAATCCTCAATTGCTCACACTATTTATTATTTAATTAGTAATTAATAATTAAAAGTACTAATTTATTTTTTCCATTGCCGCCTAGATTAATGAATAAGTGCACATAATTGCTAAATTCAAACCCGTAATTGATCACACTATTTATCAATTATTTTAATAGTTATTAATAATTAAAAATACAAAAGATTATTGAAAAACTATTTTCTACGTTTTCTTTGACTGGAATATTTGAAGGTTTTGATGTATCAGAATATGTTGTCGTGAGAATGAGTTTCGTGAATTTTAAATTTAATCGGTTTTTCGTCCAAGACTATTTTCTTTGTTTTCTTTGACTGGAATATTTGAAGGTTTTGATGTATCAGGATATGTTTCAGAGGTAGAATGGAATTTCGCCTCAGAGAAATTTAAATTTTTATTAGATAAAATACTAATTTCTTCAGTTGGTAATTCGACAGAAATTGCAACAGGGGTTGATAAAAATTCAAACTCCGATGTATGATTTAAAATAAGTTCTTTAGATTTATCTGTTTTAAAAGTTTTAGTTTCATTATCATTATTTTTTATTGATTTAACAACATTTAAAGAATTATCATTAAAAATTTCTTCTTCAGTGGAATCTGGATCCACATTTTCGTCGTCTGTTTTTGTTTTTCCAATTTTCTTGATAATTCAGCACGGATTCATCAGCAACTTTTTGAGGCTTATTTAATAGTTTTTTAGTTGTCATTTGCTGCTTATCATAAGCATCTCTAGCTTCAATTAATCTAGGTAAAATAGTCTGGATATGTTGAATTACAAATATATCGGCTCGTGTTGGTTGTCGGTCATCTAGTACATTTTCTTTTATGTATTTAAAATAATTCTCAGAACGAGAAGAAGTTGCAACATAATGTTCTAAGCCTAATTTCTAAATAAAGTTCTAATAATACTTACGCATGACATTTGTCCATGATGGAAAACATTTGAACAAGAATATTAATTTTTCTAATATACTTTTAAAAATAATAAGGGTTAATATCATCAAAATTCACAGTCATTAGAATTAATATTATTATGAGTTTCTCCAACAAGTTTATCAATATAATTAATTAAATCTAGATCAATCGGTGAATTTAATAAATGAGAATCATTACTTTCAAAAAAACTCGGCTGGGCAGAATTCGAGAAATTACGACACGTCTTCTCGTCAGGTATACCTCAATCTCTGAAAACTAAAGTGTATAACCAGTGCGTGTTGACTTACTCATCTGAGACGTGGTCCTTCACTGCTAGCCGTATGAGGACGCTCAAGGTCGCTCAGCGAGCTATAGAGAGGGCTATGCTCGGAGATTCTCTGCGTGATAGACTCAGAAATGATGATATCCGCAGTAAAACCAGAGTGACCGACATAGCCCAACGGATTAGTAAGCTGAAGTGGCAATGGGCCGGCCATATAGCTCGAAGAACCGATAACCGATGGGGAAGAAATGTTCTCGAGTGGCAGCTTCGTACCGGTAGGCGTAGTGTAGGGCGACCCCCCACTAGACGGAGTGACTACCTGGTAAGACATGCAGGAAGTCGATGGATGCAGGTGGCTCAGGACCGTGCTTTGTGGCATTACTTGGGGAGGCCTATGTTCAGCAGTGGACTTGTGAAGGGCTGTAATGATGATGATGATGATTACTTTAAATTTCTTCATCATGAAAAACCAAATGGCTGTCGCAAAGATTTTGTTTTTCACAGCTACTACTGTTTTTAATTTTTTTGTAGTCACTAACGGTTTCATCAAATTTAAACGTTTCCAATTTTGCCAGTATCCATTGAATATCATTTTTGCACCCATATTCATGTTGGCTTACATTTAATAATGATTTCATAATTTTTTCAATGTCTGTGAAATTTTCCTTTGTGCTCTGAAATAAAAATCTTTAATTACAAATTTAACCGACGAAAAACTTTTGTGTGTTGACATACCACGAATCAAACGAGAAATGTCAATTCTTAAATATGTTCGTGGTAATTTTGCTCTTCTTCAATAAAAACCTGTAGCAGTTTGATAAATATTGCTTGTATGACATGTTACAAAACGCTATGTACATATTCCATTTTGTAAAGCATCCGACATATCTGTTACAACTTCGAGAGGCTGCTTTTGCTGAAATCCACTCATACAGCCAAAATGCAACTATTTTAGTGTCATGTCTTACCGTTAACATCTGGCAAACTGGAACGATTAAAGAACCAATATTAATTACAATTTGATATAGAAATATCACGTACTTTACGATTATTTAGAAATACAATTCTGTATTTTTAATTATTAATAACTAATAAAATAATTGATAAATAGTGTGAGAAATAGCGGAATTGAATTGAGCAATTATATGCACTTATCCAATAATCTGGGCAGTTATGGAAAAAAATTGTACATTTAATAATTAGTTACTAATTAAATAATCAATAAATAGTGTGAGCAATTGCGGATTTGAATTAGGCATTTCGTGAGCAATCAAGAGTACATTATCTTATCAATCAAGAATACATTAGTTTCAAATAATTAAATAATTCATTAATAGCGTAAGCAATTACGGATTTGAAATTAACAACTTGTAAGCAACACTAATTCAATAATCTGATCGGTTAAGGGAAAAAAATTGTACTTTTAATTATTAATTACTAATTAAATTACTAACAAATAGTTTGAGCAATTGCGGATTGCAGTTAGGCATTTTGTGAGCAATTAGGAGTACTTATTCATCAAATTTTAAGAAAAGTTCTTTGGTTTTAAGGCAATAACAATTTTATATTTTTAATTATTAATAACTAATAAAATAATTGATAAATAGTGTGAGCTATTGCAGATTTCAAATGAGCAATTATTGAGCATTTTTGTGCACTAATTCAATAATCTGATCGGTTAAGGAAAAAAAACTTTTGTACTTTTAATTATTAATTACTAATTAAATAATTAATAAATAGTGTGTGCAATTGAAAATTTTAATAAGGCATTATGTGAGCAATTAAGTGTACTTATTCATTTTTAGAAGAGTTCTTTGGTTTTACGGCAATAACAATTTTGTATTTTTGATTATTAATAACTAATAAAATAATTGATTAATAGTGAGAGCAATTACGGATTTGAAATAAGCAATCAGTGAGCAATTTTGTGCACTTATTCAATATTCTGATCGGTTAAGGGGAAAAATTTGTACTTTTAATTATTGATTACTAATTAAATAACTAACAAATAGTTTGAGCAATTGCGGATTGCAGTTAGGCATTTTGTGAGCAATTAGGATTACTTATTCATTTTTAGAAAAGTGTTTTGGTTTTAAGGCAATAACAATTTTGTATAAAAATTATTAATAACTATTAAAATAATTGATAAATAGTGTGAGCAATATCAGATTTGAAATGAGCAATTAGTGAGCAATTTTGTGCACTTATTCAATATTCTGATTGGTTAAGGGAAAACACATTGTACTTTTT